GGGAGAGAGCTCGGGGCTTGGCGGGAGGGCGCGGATGGCCGCGGATGTCTCACCATGGCGCGGAGCTGCGCGGCGTCCCGGCGATGGCGGCGTCCGAGAAGGCGGAAAGGGAGGGGCGGGGGCGACGGCGGAGCGGACACAGCGCCCCCTGCCGGCCCGGCGGTCCCGCACGCAGTGAGGGGCGGCGGCGGCCGAGCGAGTTTGTGCGAGTTTATTTTGGTTTAGTACAAAAAACAGTTATGGCTAAAATTCGCTAGCTTAGGAGGAGCTGCTACTGGCGAAGTCTCGTTCTGGGCTGTAAAACAATACTTCAGGTTATAAGGGAAGAGGAAGCAGTTCCAAGAGGGCAGGAGCTCAGAAGCATTTCAGACTTGAGAGAAAGGAAGATGCTGGAAAACAGGATGCCCAAACCAGCTACATTTGGTTAAAAATAAGCATTTCAATGTAGGGAGACTTTACATGAGAATTTATCAAGACATATTCAACTATTAAGCCAGCTTATTCATACACTCCAACTTAAGTTACTTTATCCAGAGAACCACTGAAGAGGACGGTCTCTCCCTCCCTAACATGGTTACTGCACTCCCAGATGTTCTGCTCCTTATGTGCCAAAAGGCTTCTATCCACCGGTACCTCAACAACCCCAGCCTGTGTATGTGTCTCAGTGCTAGACTGACACACTTTAGCTTTCACTGCCTCACGCAGGAGCACCACACAACACAGCAACACCTGTGTGTTAAGTCCAGGCAACTCCAAGCTTGCTCTGCTTAAGTGCATCCAACACTGGCTCTTATTGCCTTAGAGTAGAGCTCTGGCTTTTGATCCAGGTCTCATCCCCTCCTGACTACAACTCATTTATTATCAAACTTAAGGCCATAAAGTCTTTCTATTTTGCAAAGATTCTCTTCTCTGTTATAGTTAGATGCTGGGAAAATAAGTTCAAATAACTCAAAATATTACAAATGAGAACACATTTCAAATTCTGAATCTACAACTGAGGTTCTTTAACCAGAAACATCCAACAGCACAATGCCCCCCTTTCTTCCTTTGTTCCTTTTTCGCTCCGAAGGCACTTCTGGATTGTGTAGTACATGCTCTTTGGCTGCACAGTCAGAACACATAAGGCTGGCACATCAGTCACTCCTCTTCCTTCGTGTGACTGGTCTCACCCTCTTGTTTCTTATCCACTCCCTGATCTGGGGGCTTTGCAGCACTGTCTTCATACTGACACAATCTGCTCCGGCTTCGGGCTCCAGGCTGGTACAGCTGCATTGCTGGGCGATCCTGAAATAAATCAAAACTATTTAGACTCTTTCATAGCTCCCTGCTCTCAGGGTTATTATGGCATCATTTCTATGGCATTAGAAATGGCTCAAATTGAAACTTTTCAGGCTAAGCTTAATTATTCCACAGTGGTGGCAAACTTCAATTGTCCCAAAAAAAGGTTGTCTCTGTTGTAAAGCAACATCCCTGTTCAAGACACAAATAACACTGCTCATACTTGAGATTATTTGTAATGAGCTTTGAGTCCAGCTCACGCTCTCTCAGAAGAGAGGCCAACTTCAAAGTTCCAAAACCCTGAGTTTCATTTGTACCTGACCATGTCTTAAGTGATACAGAAAACAAGCACAGTGATGCTGCAAAAACAGATTTTGTAGAGTACATAAAACTACACTCAAGACATTATTTCTTGAGCCTAGAGGATATGTCATACTCTGCAAGTTGCAGTTTCTTATTTTAAGGAACCTGTTTAATCACACTCCTACAATGAGATGCATTTTCAGGCACCTATATCAGCAGATACAGACAGATTACTGATACTCTACCAACACCTTAAAGAGACAGCCTATGGCACAAGTCAGCAAATAAAAAGGGATCAATGTCTTACAATTCAACCCATGTTTTCTTGGATTAGTTCTTACACAGTGACAAGAAATACCACTGTTAAGCAAATTTTAGTGGACATTTCTAGAAATGGCAGAGTTTGTGGCAGAACAGGGAGAAGTTTCAACAGAGAAACCACATGGTTCTTTCCTTGAAGGTCTTTTATCCTAAAAACCACAGATCCATATGAATCAACACATGAATTTACAGAAATCCAGCACCTTGTTTCTGATACGATCCCTCTTAATTGTATCCTCTTTTTTATCGTCTTTGGTTACTTTCTCAGATTTGTCCATGCTGCTGGTAAAGTCTGTAAGATCACTTTTCTTTCCCTTTTCTCTGAGTAAGTCTCTCTCCTTTTTCACCTCTTCCTCTTTTCTTCTAAAAACCTTCTCTTTCTCATAGCGCTCTTTCTGCCTCCGACGCTCCTCTTCTTGGCGTCTCAGTTTTTCTCTCTGTGCTCTCTCATATTCTCTGTCTCTGTCAAAATCTCTATCTCGGTCCCTGTAGTCCTTTACACACTCATCTTCTGATCTGTATGAAAACAAAACTGAAAATTAAGCTCAAAAGATTCATAAAACAGAGCTGGGATATCAATGTGATAGTGGTGTAAATGTGCAATAGGAGGATGACACACTAGGGAGCTCTTGGGAGGCTGTGATAGCCCAAGTCAGTCATGCATGACAGCCAGAGGACACTGACCACTAGAGTTTCCCAGCCTCCTACTTCCATAGTTGGCTGAGTCTCTTCTGGCTTTGAAAACGCATCTGAATTTGTCTATCTTATCTGTATTTCTCACATGGCAGAACTGAACCTCAAACAGATCACAGAGCTGTTGAGAATTACATTTTCCACTGCATCTTTTTACAGAGGGGCTGGTAACTGAGAACACCTCTCCTCATGCCATGGTTATAATAATTATCTCATTGCAAGGCAGTGCTCATAGCCTGCTGCAGTCACCTATGTATGGGCTTCCTTAGTGGAGTTCCTATAATGAGTTATAAAAATATTAAAATCTGTCCTCTAATGAAGAATTTCCAGGTAATTCACAGAGCTTTCTGTAATCATGGGAATGTGCACTGCCACAGAAAACACAGCCCATGCCTTATATGAGATAAAGCATTTGAAAGGAATTTCAAAACATGGTCATGGCAGGGCAGCCTAAGCCTCAGTACAATCAGGAAACAAGTTATAGATACATATATATTTATAGCAAGTACTAGAATACTTTTTTGCCTTCTCTTCTTTTGTCTCCCCATCAGATCGTTTGGCAGATGCACTACTCGCATTTTTTTCCTCCCTCAGAGTCTCTTTTTCCAGTCTCTTGGATTTTTCTTTTCTCTCCAAGTCTTTTTCATCTTTTTCAGGCTTCTTAAGTAGCTACAAAGAAAACAGAAGTCTCAACTAAAAAGCTCACTCTAATGCATATTGTCTGGCACAACACTGACATTGCATCAAAGGAACCGCAGTGCAGTCAGAAGTAAACATTAAAAAAATATTACTGCAAACCACAGTATTCCTAAAAGCTGGAGTGTATGAGTAAGCATTATTCACACAGCAGACTAGGATTTTTCTCCTAAACCAGGCTGTTTTAGAAAGCTTAAAAATAGTCTCCATTCCATAGCAAATTCACAATCCTGTTTACCGCAGCATGTACAACAGTCACATGACAAAAACTTTAAATATCACTATGAAACATTACAGCATGTAAACCTTTACAATGCCTACTACTGAATATTACAAAAAATTGCTCATTTACTAACATCAAACTCATGTGATTCTTCACACAATACCCAAAGTACATTTTGAGACTGATATACAAATAATAGGGGAAAGGGAGTGTAACAGTTTATAATAAAGAACTGTTCTAGACCTTAATCTTTGGTTCTTCTTTTGATCTGTCTCTTTCTTTTTCTGGGCATCTGTCTACCTTCTTCAATTTTTCTGCTTCTTTTCTCTTCCTCCTCTCCTCTTCTTTCCATTTTCTTCTTTCTTCTTCTCTTTGTCTTTTTCTTTCTAATTCTCTCCTCCTTCTCTCCTCTCTTTTTTCTTCTCTCAGTCTCTGTGTATGTAAAAGCAAAGAGAAATAGTGTCTCTCCACAACAAGAAACACATCTTTAAGCCACCAAACAACTCACCTCAAAACTCCCTCTATAATAAAAAAAAAGTCCTGTCATGTCTTTGTTGTCATTGTGAACCTGAACATGTTGCAGTGTTTTTTTTACTCATACATCTTAATTTGTACTGTCTTTAAAAACTCAAATACTACACTGGCCTCAGCCTTTTTCATTCAAATTTTAATTAAATCTGCCCAATCTCTGATTTTCTCCATTGCTAGAAGTTAAAATAACCTTACGTGCTAGGAGAAAGATCATCCACAAGGACCTCAGCCATACTGCACTAAAAATTAAAGGACTAAAATGGAATCTGTTTTTTCAGTGCAACAAGAGGCATTTTGCTGTGACCAGAATGTACACAAAGCACCACCATTCCAACCCTCTAGTTCTTTAAAATATATGAACCAAAAGCTGACAAGTTGGGTCAAAAGCTCCTTCTTCAAAAGGAAGGGCAGAAATGCATCAACATATAATGAGCAAATTGTACTTGCAAACAAAAAGAAAATTCTGGAGGTAAGTCTTACCTGTTTATTTTTCAAGAAGTTCAATAAAGGAGTAGTCTTTTTAGCTGGAGAATAGATGAAACAAATGTAAATATTTTGGCTTATCCAATACTGCAACACCTACAACAAAGCTCTATATGAAGTGAAGCAGCCTTACACATTCCTCTGCCTGTCTCCTCTCACAGACAGCAATACAGCAGTGAAACAAGTATTCCAAACCTGTCTCCAAACAGTGGCAATTATTAGGATTTCATAAACTTCTTTAGGATACTAACAGGATATCCATTACACCTATCTCTACATTCAGTCTGCATTAGGCTTTTCCCAGACGCTCTCATTTTTAAAAACATCCCTGTAAGATACTTAAAAAGAGCAACCTGGTAATTTTTGATGGTATTTTACCCAACCAGACTATCTCTTAACTTGTGCCTGCACGGAACATCACAATCACAGCACTGTGCATTAACCACCACTGCATCTCACTGAAATGCAGCACTCCACAGCCTGGTCTGGCTAGCAAAATCTGCAACAGGAAGAAACTTTGTCATCTAAAACTTATGCCTACAGAAGAATTTAGAGCATGGGAAGAAAACAAAACACTGAATATTAGCCTAAATGTTTAACAAATACTAAGTAGGCACACAAAAGAATTCAATCTCCTCCAGGCTGAACTTTAAATTACAAAGCATATTTGTTTCTTTGTGATCTAGGAAAATAGTACACAAATTTCCATACCTATTAGCTCTTTGTTTCTTGCCTCTATTTCCTCCAATAAAGTTTCAGGAGTGGAGGTTAATTTTTCATCATCTGCACTGTAACTTTCCAAAAACTTCTTGTATTCTGGATCTACACAGAAGAGAAAGGACAAGAAAGGGGGGAAAAAAAGAAGAGATACTGTAGCATGAGAAGTATTTGCATCATGAACTCCTTGGTTACATTCACTTAAGTTGGGTTGTTTATATGCCACCTTTTTATAAATTAGCAGCTCTCAAATGAGCTGCTGTATTATGTTTGTCTGGAACAATCATATTTAACAGATTTCTAGCTGACAAAGCAGTGCTCATAAACTTCACATATAATTAAGCAAACATCCTATTGGTGGAACTATAGCATCACAGTAAAAACATTACATTCAAATTACTACTAAGAATTTCAAGTCTACACATGCAAAACAAACTGGCTCGCTGTTATACCATCTTCAATAGTTCCAGTTTTGGCATCCTTTTTCTTACTCTTCTTTTTTGCAGCTTTCTGGAAAGGTGCAAACTCAACTATGGCAGCATATTCCTGACCTGTTGAGAGAAAAAAAAAAACACATTAAACACATTAAAATAAAAAGATGAAACAGATACAGAATAGATTATATTGTCCACATCTAAAGCAGGAAATTAAATCTCACAAGAAATATGCAATACTAGAAGAGACTACTTACACAGCACAATAAGATTACTGTATTTGGAAACCCTTTTAATAAAAAAAACCTACTTTACAGACAGCAGAATTCATGACCTTAACACTCTCACTATACTAACAAACCAGCAAATTCAGACTGACAAGAAGGACATACTAGATTCAAGACTGCCCATGACTGTCAGTTCGGCCACCTCAGCGGCACCACACCACCTAATGGCCTCATCCTACAGACTCTGCGTTCATTGTGCAAGAAAGAATATTTTAAATTAATGCAACTGAAGCATTGCATTGCAAAAACTCAATTTTTGACACAATAGAGTGCAACACATTACAAGCATGCTTTAAAGCTTTATCTTCTGACAAGAGCACTACATTTATGGCTGCACAAATCCAGCTGGGTATGGCAAACACAGCGTGCTGTTACACTGCAAACCAACTCATTTAAAGGATGTTATTAGAACAATATATGTATGTATTTTTAGATGTACTGCAACTGCTATTGGAGGCACCAAACCGAAACAAGTCAGACGTGGCTGCTTACACCCACTCCTCCAAAACTCAACCAGCACACGGCACGGACAGCAGGGAAGCAGCAACATCCATCGAGTGCCATTCACTTGCCTTTGTGATCAACAAAAACGTAGCCGTCGAAGCGATCCCTGAAGAGGACTATGTCTTCCTGGTTCTTGAAGTTGATGTATGCTCTCGAGAACATGTGCGGGTACAAGCTGCAGAGACACAAACCGAGAACGCTGGGCTGACGAGGCGGCGCCGCCACTGGGGCCCGGCTGGCGATAGCGGCGGCTCCCGGGAGCGCCCGGACTGGGCAGGCGCCCGTACCTGGAGTCGTTCGCGAAGAACTCGAAGTAGTCGTGCTCGGGCAAAGGCTGCAGGTGCTCCTCCAGCTGCTCCTTCGTCAGGCTGGGCGGCAGCCGGCGGATCACCACCTGCGGCGGCAGGACCGGCGCTCAGGGCGGCGGCAGCGCCGGGGACGAGTCATTACCGCGCCTCCCCCGACACGTCCCGTCCCAGGAGGCCACCGCAAGCGGCCCGTTAGCGGGGAAGGTCCCGTTACAGAGG